AATAGTTTCTTGGGCCACAGCCTGGTTTAAAAACTTGTTTCTGACCCTGACATCAGTAGTTCCATACTAATAACAACTTCATAGATTCATTTGTAAAATACCTAGTAGGTTACTAAATAATACTTTATCTTTGTTCGGTAGAAAAAAGAGTAAATGGCTTTTTTGGAATAGTAATGAACAGTGCAATTTTTAATATATTTTTTATATAGCCTCTTTGAGCAATACTGCAATTGAGTAGGGCTTTCTAGTCAGTCCTAAAAAGAGAAGTTAAAACAAAGGGTGCGAAGTGGGGAACTACACATATGTACTATAAAGAAGTTAATTTAGATTACAGTTATCATTATTAGACAGCTTTGTTGTGGAACTTTCTAGAAGCAGGCCCTTCTTTGGCATTTCCAACCCAGTATTTCATAAGGAGTTCAGCCTTCTATAAAGTAATTTTAAGTAACTATTGAGTTAACCAGGAAAGAAAACAGTATCTCTTCTCTTCCAGAGAGGTGACTATGTACACTTTTTAATAGCAACTGATTTGTATTTTTAGAGCAATAATACTAATCATATCCCTTTCCTGGGGGGAGGAAAAAATGTTACCACTTTCATTTGCTAAACTATAGAATATAATGCAGGGAGAACATAACCTGTCACCCAGAATGTGGCGGGAAAAAATAAATCATTACCAAATTGTGTGTTGCAAGCCAAGGACATATGAAAAAAGTCACTCCGCCTCTCAAATTAAGAACATCTTAGGGGCACCTGAGTGGCTCAGTTGGTTGGTCTGACTCTTGATTTTAGCTCAGGTCATGGATCTCAGGGTCACGGGATTGAGCCCCGCATTGGGCTCCCTGCTCAGCACGGAGTCTGCTTGAGAGTCTCTCTCCCCCTCTTCCTCTGCTCCTCCCCTGACTCAGGCATGCTCTCTCTCTCTCAAAATAAATTAATAAAATCTTAAAAAGAACATCTTATCTAAGGACATGACATAGAATATAGTAGTTCTCCCTTATCCATGGTTTCGTTTTCCATGGTTTCCATTACCCACAGTCAGCTATGGTCTGGAAGCAGATGATCCTCCTCTGACATTGTCAGAAGGTCAGTAATAGCCTAATGCTATGTCAGCGTGCCTGCGTCATTCCCCTCACTTCATCTCATCACCTAGGCATTTTATCATCTCATATCATCACAAGAAGCATGAGTACAGTATAATAAGATATTTTGAGAGAGAGAGAGACCACATTCACATAACTTTGATTACAGTATATTGCTATAATTGTTCTATTTTATTATTAGTTATTGTTGTTAATCTCTTACTAGCCTAGCTTATAAACTTGACATAGGTATGTATGTATAGGAAAAAGCAGAGTATATATAGGGTTCAGTATTATCAGCGGCTTTGGGCATCCACCGGGGGTCTTGGAATGTATCCCCTGCAGATAAAGGAGGACCACTACACTATGGATCTTCCCTTTCAACCAAAATAATCTTTTACTAAAAAATTATGACTCAGGGACACAATGCATACCAAGTTAGACTATAATAATCTTAATAAGACCACATTTTTGTTGGAAAATGTCATCTAGAGGACATGACTAATGGCTGACTCATGAGCTAGACCCGGACAATTGGAGGCTCCTCGTCCTCTACCCTGTCCTTGGAATATGCACTTTGTCCACCGTTCCCACAGTAGGAGCTGTTCCAAGGACACAGCTTTGAGAGAGTAATGTGATGTTGCGACCACACATGACTGAGCCTAGTGAAGGCCCCTGTATAAGTTTTTTTTTTTTTTGAATTTTTTTTTT